TTGTGTTCAGGATGCAATGGGATTTTTTATGGCAAATAATGAAAAATTCGAAATTGATTTTAGTTACAATTTCATTCGCTAGATGGCGCTCTACCAGAATCAGATATTAGGCGGCTAAATTGTTTGATAAATTGAAAAATATAACTGATCGACATGTATTTTTCCTTTTTGAATACCAGGAAAGAACCCTAATAATATCAAATCATAAATTAATAAAACACCATTTCGCCAAAAGTTGACGATTTTTTAATACAATTTGAGATATGTATAATAGGTATATGCAAATTAAAACATGTAGTAAAAAAAATTGATATTATAGATGCGGTTTACTGGAATCTTCTCAGCTATTTGAATTTCGAAGATAATAAATTTCAATTTTTTAAATTCAACTCTCTCTCAGTATCGATTATTTTTATTTTAATTAATTTGAAAAATATCTATCTCTGATGATTTATTTTACTCTGGAATGCCGTTGTTGTTTTTGTCGTGTCCAATAAAGAGCCTCAGATGTCTCCATGCATCTCTATCACAGCAGCAGCAACTATCTTGGGTGTGTAAAGCTGCTGCTCTGGGTCTATGTCAATTTTCTGCCAGGCTGCGGGCATGAGAATATGTGGGTAGGTGTTAGTTCCACAACAGGACAGTTGTTGCATGTCCTATAGGCTCTTGTACCATCTGAATGTATTGTCATTCCTTTATAGTGTTTTGTTCTAAGTCTTGTTATAGTTTTGTCATTTTTCTCTTAGAGTTTATTTCACATTTTGATATTTTCTTATTTTTTGTTTAATTATCTTGTATTTTGAAAAAGCATTAGCGTCAAATAATGAAATTTGTTCTTTCCTTTGGCTCAACTTTCTGGCTTCCTTTGCCAATTCAACTCCCATTTCATTACCCCCGATCCCAGCATGGGCAGGAATCCATTCTAGAATGCAGTTATTCTCCAATGATTCCAGTTGGGTAAGTAACGAGTGTATTTTCTGTGTGATTTTAGTATTGTCCTTCTGAATTACTTCTAGATCGGATATGAAGTCGCTGTATATTACAATTCCTTCTGCTTCATGCAGGGATGGTTGGTTAAGGCATACATCAAGAGCTTTCCAGATAGCTGTCAGTTCACAAGTGAAGTTTAACAATATCTTTCCTTCTCCTTCTTTGATTACTCTTCTTTGATCCATTACTCAGGGTAAGGTCTGATGATCCATCTGTATATGCTATTAAATAATTTCTCTGATCTCATAAACCAATTGTGTCAAGTCCTTTCTTTTTAAGTATGTTTTTGTTCTATTTTTTATTGCAGGGTTTATTCAGGTTAAGATTCATTATTACTTTTGATGGCAATGGGGTAGGAAATATTGGTTATTCTTGAATTTGAAATTCGTTATGTTTCATATTTATGCCCTTTCTATTATTGTTGTCGTACTGAAGTGTTGAAGATCTTTTGAGTTTTTTTATTTTTGTGTCCAGTTTAAATAGGTTCTATGGGATATGTGTTCGGTTTCTTTACTTTTTAAGATATTGGTGAATTTTATTGTTTTTAATTGTCTTCTGCTTTCGAATAGGTCTAGACCACATTCTCTCAGAATTTTCACATTGTAGGTGGATGAAACAGCACCAGTGATTATTTTGGCCGCTTTTGCTTGAACACTGTCTAGTCTTCCTTTTAGTTATGAACTTGAGGGAGCCCAGACGGGTGTTGCATATTCCATTATTGGCCTTATTAATGTGATATATGCTGTTCTGAGAATTTTGGGTTTTGCTCCCCAATTTGTTCCACATAGCCTTCTCAGAAGGTTTAGGTTTCTGGTAGCTCTATTTGAGGTGCTAATTATGTGTTCTGTAAATCGCAATTCCTCATCAAGTATCACACCTAGGTATTTTGGAGATCTGATTTTATCAATTATTTAGTTGTTTATGCTTATTTTGGGGTTAAATTTATGCCTTTTTTCCTGTCAATGAAGAAGACGCATAGGTTTGTTTTTATTGGGTTTATGGTCATTTTGAGTTTCATTGCCCACTTCTCTAGTCCTCTCATTGATGTGCTCAGTATTTTTTCTGATTTTTATATACTGCTACTTGTGTGCCATATGGCTATATAATCTGCATAACAGGCAACATTTGTGTCTTCAGTGAGGTAAGGATGGATGTTGTTAATGTTGTGTTGTAATTAGACGTACAAAAGCTCAAACTTGATCATAACTCTTTTTATCTCTTATTCTTTTCGTTTGGCCAACAAAAAATGTCCAATTTATATACACATATATTCTTACATAATGAGACTTTAAAGAATGCAAATCATCTTCATCTATTTACATACACAACACATCTCCCCCCTTAATAATACTCCAGTCGGTCTGGGGGTTTCCTGGCTCTCTGAGGTCTAGGACTGCGGACGGGCACTTGCACAGCAGCAGTCCCCGATCTAGGAGTGCAAGAGGGCACGTGCACAGCATCAGTCTCTGCTTCGTTTCCTGATGTAATCTCTGAAACCTCCTCTTCACTTTTTTTCTGACTTCCACCTACAGGCTTCTCTCCTGATGTTCGAGGAAATATCAAATTTCTTGTCTCCACTTGTTTCTTTCTCACAGGTCTCAATTGATTGATATGCCTCTTATACACGAGGCCCTCGCAACCTATAAGGTAGTGACGGCAGCTCAATAATTTCAAAATGGTACTTTTTTCCATTTAGGTCCAGTTGCATAGTTGCGGAAATAAACCTCGCAACCTGTAGTAAACTGCTCCTGCCTTCTTACGGCCTTATGAAATACCTCTCGCGAATTTCCCATCTTTGGTATTAAATTAGAGAATCTTGATCTTAAACTTCTCTTCATTAGAAGTTCCGCGGGGAA